GAAGGGCTCTCCAGCTCCTGTGGCGGGTTTTTGATGTGTTCCACTAGTGGAGCCTATTCTGAGTTTGCCTGTCTGTAGGGGAGGCTGTATCTTTCAGATGTGTGTGAACGTGGTGCAGAGATTCCTTTGACCTCACATATTCACAAACAAAGGGTAGGAACAGCTCTCTTGGATTTCACAATTTGCTGATTTTGAGGAAAACACCCTGCAGCAGTGAGCTGGGATTATGTGACTTTCTTGCTCTTAAGGAGACATTAAGCAAGATATATTTTACTGTTTAAATCTAAAATTAGAATGGGTACACTGTGTTTTGTGACCTCAGTTTCATTTTTCCATTCTCTTTCATGCACATTACGAGCTACCTCCTGCAGCTTTCTCTGCAAACGGCCTCACATAATTTGACCATACCGACGGTTTGCTCTTGGTACGAAGCTGAGGCCTTGTTTGTGGGGATGTGTCCTCTCTGTTTCTCAGCTGCATAATCTAAAGGGCAAGGGTTATTATGTGAAGCACTGTGCTATAAGCAGCATGAACAGTGTGTGTTCTGTGTGTGCAGTGTCCTGACAGTGACATTGTGCATGACCCCAGAGTAAGTCCTAAAACACTCAGTCCGGAGCATCCTGTAATTGTTCTTGCTCTGCTCCTGCCCCAGAAGGTGGTAATGCCTGGTTACTAATTGTAAGGAAATAAGGTCAAATTTCCTAATCAAATAATTTTGAGGTTTGTTTGCAGAAATACATTAGGACTTTTAATGGAGAAGGTAACAACTGTTCCACTTTGGACAACTTTTGAAGCTTTGGAGTTGATTTTCATTCCAGGCCTTTTGCAAATACTCGTGAAAGGGAGCTGTCTCTGTTTTGAGACAGTTATATTTAGATTTGGATTTTTTATATGGGTGCTGTCTTTATTTTGGGTTTCTGTCTCTCTCATCTATCTGAATTTAGTCCTCTAGAACATATAGCCTTTCATAATAAAACCACAGGTGACACCAAGTTCTCTGTGGTTTGATCCAACTTCATTTTAGTTGAAATGTTCCAGATAGCATTAATGTTTCTGTTTTTAGGGACTGATCACCATCTCTATTCCAATGCAGAGTTCTGAATGAGGGGGACCTTTTCTAACAAAAAGTCTTGTGGTGGTCCTACTCCTGGGCTCTGTGAAACTGGTCAGTTGATACTGGCAGAATTTATTTTGTTTGCTTAGCCAAAGTATTGAATAACATTTCAGGAATTTTCTGGTCCTTGAACATTCTCTCTTTACGAGTCCCTGTTGACACTGAGCAAGACTGGCAGTTGAGATGATCTTTGTTTGAATGTTCACTTTGCCAGTTTTGCAAGGGGAAGATTGTAATCTATAAATAATTGAGCAGGAAGATAAACAGGATGTGATGGCTTCTATGAAACTAAGTTCTTTATTATTTGCTATGGTAATACCAGTGGTAGGTCCAATATGAAATATTATTTACTAGGTTTACCACCAACCTTCCAGTTCTGTTTGCAGAGCAGAGAGCTTTTACAAGAAGAATTATTCGGATTTCTTCATTTTGAGAGTCACCCTTCAGACAAATATTAGGGAGGCCTAATACTCATTGAAGGAAGATGTTCAGCACTTCAAGGTCAGGGCTTCTTTGGTGCCTTCCATTTGCAGTGTCATAGATGATGTCTGAGCATGTGGGTGCTGCCAGTGCATTTGATTTCTTCACCTCATCACCAAGGGGGAACTGAACTCCAAAATAAAAATTTCTCATAAGGATTAGTAAATCCCTGCCTGTAGGCTTACATCCTGCTTTGCCCCAGGGTAGCTCATCCAGATGACTGGGGGCTTATCATAGTCCAAATCCTGGAAGTGTCTGTCTTCCCTCAGCATGATCACCTGCTGTAGGTCAGCACACAGGGAGCTGCATCCTGGGGCTGCTCCAGCTGAGAGCATGAAGTGCTGCAGCCTCCTCCAGAGACAAACATTCATACTCAGGAGATCTCAAGATTCATGTTCCTTAGATAAAGCATGGACTGTAAAGCTGTAAAGTACATTCAGATTTACATCCCCAAACCCTTTTCCCTCCAGTCTAAGGGGAGGAAATGGATCGACATCAGTGTATTAAAGTTATTTGCAAAGGAGGAGATGCTGCTCTCAGATGCATCAGCTTTTGAGTGTCCCTCAGGTGAAGTGAGAGCTGTGAACTGGCCATCCCACGCACAGGCAGATGTGTCCCTGGTACAGGGCTTCCCTGTGAGTACTTCAGGCATTGTGCAGGAAAGTGGCTGCTCAGAAGGGATCCTTGGGAGTGGAGGCTGTTAGTGCTGCACTTGAGAAGTTTTAGGTGGCAAGAGGGAATAAAAAGTAATCATTTAGGATGATAGCTCAGGGTAATTAGAGAAGGACAAGGTGGAGGCCTGTGTGTATAACTGTAGATAGTGTACTGTCACTGGGACCATGGCCTGGACACTACATCAAGGAAAACTGTAGCACATTTGGGGAGGGTTTACCTAGCATGGCAGAGGTTGCAGCTCTTTCTGCACAGCAGAGGGCAAAGTACCTTGCAGCAGGGACTCCTAGGAGCATCTGAGGAGGAGGGATCCAGAGGAGACAAAAGCATAGACAGAGATTAAGACTATTCTAGCATCAGGATGCCAGGGTTTAAGAGCAGATGCTTTGCTTCACCTTTGTGAAATGAAAAAGTGCTTCTAGGTTCCTTTTTGGGCAGAAGTACTCAGTGGGGTACTGTTGGTGTGTGTTGAACCCCACTCCTTCCACATGTTCCCCCAATGTGGCACTTTTCCCACCACTTGTATAACATCCTCTGATTCTGGAGTATGAAATCTAATGGTGGGTCCAGTCTGAACCCTGCCCCACCTTTACCAGGTGTTGTCTTAGGGACAAGAGGCTGTAGCACAGCCCCCCAGGACAGAGTGTGCGTGATTCTCATCAGGTAGCACAGCTCCTCCCTGAGCAGCTGGATGTGGCCCAGGTTCTCCTGTGGGTACAACCTCAGGGGAGACAAAGGGACCTGCAGAAGAGCCCGAGCTTGGGAGCCAGCGGTGGTGCCGCCTGTGCTCGGCAGGGCAACATGCCTTTCTGTACTGTCAGCAGATGTTTTCATTCTGGTTTGGACAGGCTTGGAGGGAAACTGGATGCTTTCCAGTTCTGTCCATCCTTAATTTCTTCTCATCGGGTAGAGAATAACTGGAGTTATTTCTGTCGTTGCACAAGCGCTCAGGCGGTGTTTGTTGACCAGCCATGGTAACCTCGGTGTGAGCCAGATGTGGGAGCTGCTCCTGGGGTGGCTGGGGTGCTCTACACTTGTGTTCCCACCACAGCCCCACGCCCCATCTTCCCCTCCTGACTGACATCCCCACAGCCCCAGCTCTGTGGCATCCCGAGGTCCCTGAAAAGAGCCTTTCATTGCTGCCCTTTGCAACCCGCCTTAGGGTTGCACTTAACCCAGAGAAAATGTTAAAGAAACAGTGTTGTGGCATGAGGGGTCATACTCAGAGCTGGAAAACTGCAGCTTTAGAGATTACAGGAGAAAGAGTCAGAGCATTGAAGAAGGCCACTAAGCCCACGGTGCTGAGCTGGCTGTGCCAGGTGAGCATCTGTGTCTCATGTCACCTTCCTGCACTGCCACCCTCCTCTGGTCGGCAAAGGCTGCAGAGGTGCTGGGCACACCATGACCCTCCTGCTGCTGTAAGTTTCCATGCTCCCTTGAATGGATTAGGCAGAGGGAAGTGAGGCCTCTGACATACTTTTCCAAACCAAAACAAAGCTGGCAAATCTAATTTTAGGCCTGGTTTAATATGGAAATGATATCAATACTGACACAAAGCTTTTCCATTCTCCTGATAATTAATTTCTGTGTATTTGTCTTGTGGGTGGGAAGAGGCTGAGAATATTGATAGCTCCCTCTCAACAGCTGGGTTTACAGTCAAAAGTTTTTATCACCAAAGACCAAAATGAAAGGGAAGCGATACCACACACAGGCATAGTTTTGCTTCAATTTTCTGTCGAACCAACATGTTTGAACTCCTGTCTGACTGCCTTGGGACAAGGTGTGTAGCAGTGGAGTATCTGCCTGCCAGCCTTCAGCAGACTTGGTAGAAAGCAATTTATGGGGATGTGATAGGGATGTGAAAGGACTAATGTTCCTTTCTTTCTCTCTCTCTCTCTCTCTCTCTCTCTCTGTCTATCTCTCTCTGTCCCCACCCCCTCGCTGTCTGTCTGTGCCTGATTTTGTTTGCATGTTAGGTTTTTGTGGCCAGTCCAAACAAAACACAGCCTATTGTGGAGATCCTGTTGAAAAACCAACCCAAGCTAATTGAGTTTCTGAGCAATTTCCAGAAAGAAAGGACGGACGACGAACAATTCACTGATGAGAAGAACTACCTGATTAAGCAAATCCGAGACTTGAAAAAGCCAACGGCGTGAAGAACACCTCTTGTTTTCCACTGTAGGCATTATTCTCAGTTGTTAAGTTCCTCTGTGTCCCTTAAACACCACAATAGTGCTTGAGAAGGCACAGCAAGTGCCTGGTTTTTATTTTGTCTTTGTTCCTAGATGTCAAGAGTATAGGGGTTTTACATGAGAACTAAAAAACCAAAAATCTAGAATAATATATTATTTTTAATCAAGACTATAATTATTTATGTCAGTTTAGAATCTCTCTCTGATAGAAGCTGGTTTGACGGATTGTTTTTTTGTGCTCAAGAATGAACTTCTTTGCTTAACTTTATCAGCAAACTCAAGCTCTGGCAAGGGCACAGAGCAGGTCTTCTGAGGACTGTGACGTTGTTCCTTCACACCTGTAGCTGTGACTTGGTTCTAGCGCTGCACACACACACAAGACTGTGAAAGAGTACACTGGTCTCTGGAGTTAGCTGCACTTATAGGTCAGGTTTTTTAGTCAAAACTATGGAAGATGAAAAGCAGTAAAGGTCACGTTTTTGCTTCATTTTGTGTTCTTTCCATCTTTTTTTTTTCTCCCCTAGATCAGAGGTTTTCTATTCAGTGCTAGGGAACGGATGGATACGTCAGCCATCCGAGCTGTTTCTGCCTAACTCCTGTTTCTCTGTGTGTGATCTATCTTGTGCTAGAGCACAGGTTTTTCCTACCAGCTCCCAAGCAGTCCCATGAGGAGCAGCCCCACGTACGCATGTGGTGCTCACATGCCCTGTAATGGGAAAAGGCAAGGGCAACCCCCCCATCAAAGGCCTTGCTGTATTGCTGATAGAGTGATCCCCCACCTATGGAAACCATCCATAGAATATTGGGTGGTAGCCAGAGCTACTTGGCTGAATTGTGATAAGGGCTTAGCCTCAGCACCAGCGTAAGGGGAGGGTCCTTAGTGTCCTTGCATCTGAATTCCAGTCCTGGCTGTGCAAGGTGAGGTTGAGCTGAGTTCAGCAAGGGAATCATGAAAAGGCCTCAGCCAGATCTGCCCAGGAGGCCACTGGGCAGCCCCAGGCACCAAAGGCCACCCATAGTCTGGCATTTTCTGTCCTTGCTCATCCTAACATGAATTCAGGTTCTGTGTTAAAGTTGTAGAAGAGGAGGTTGTTGCACCAATAATGTTTTGAGTTTATTAAATTCTATGGTACAGACAGTGTTTCCCTGGTGTGTTTGAAAAGTTTTTGGGGGTCTTTTGTTTTCTAACAGGAAAATGTTACTCTGATGCTTTATTAGGAAGTGGAGTTTGAGAGCAGGGAGTGGAAATTTCTTGAATTTTTCTGGACAGCCTAAGTTCTGAGTTTTCCTATTTGCTGTAAGAAAGTTGTCTAGCTATAACTCTAGCTAATGCTTCAGATAACAGGTGACACTGAATTGTAAAAACAGAACAAGCCCCTTAGCCCCTTTCTTTCATTGAACTGTTGTGTATTGAGGTAACTGACACTTTAATTTATGTGCTTTAGAAAAGGGAAGAAACAGAACAGATTGTGGTCTCATTTTTTTTTTTTTTCAGATGTCAGATACAACAAATGTACATCTTAGTTGCCTGGAATTAAAAAAAAAAAATATTTACAAGCTATTAAAGGCATGATTACTGATCACTCTTTATTTCTGTCTCTGTGGTTTTTTTTCCCTCTTGCCTTTCTGGATAGCCAGACTCTACAGTGCTAAATTCCTTCTCTCCTTTGCCAGCTGGTTTCAGCAGATGGAGAGGGATGAGCACTGCCTTCAGAGCCAATGCTCTCTGAAGCATCACCTCTGCAGCTCTGGCTGGCAGGGGTCTGGCAACCCCAGCCCAGCTTAGTCTGGCCATGAGCCTCACCCCCACTCTGTGGGTGGTGTTTCCTGGCAGTGGTCACTTGCAGGTCGATAAGGGAGCGTCTCGCAGTCCTCAGAGCCAGTCATTTTTAGTCTGATCCTCTGAGATTTGGAGCCTGAATCCGAAGGGTGCTTGGCTGTGTTCTGAGCTCCTGGGGTGGGGCTGGTCTCCAGGGCTGGATTAACACAAAGACACGTGTCCATTGCCTCAGCCTCTGGAGTCACATGAGAACATTGGGATTCCAGCCAGTGTTAGGAAAAAGTGTCTCATGGTGTGTTGCTGGGGAATGCCTGCCCTTGACAAAGTGAGCGTGACCCACACAGAGGTGCTCAGAGAGTCTATAAGGGATCATGCTGTGAGAGCTTTGTCTGCATGGTCTGGACACAGAGAGAGGAGATCCAAACCTGGTGGTAACACGAGGAGTGGGGTTACACCCTGGTGTCTGCATAGGCAGAGATGTGTCAGACCAACAGGGAACAGGGATGGGCCTGGCCCTGCGAAGGAAGGGCAAGAAGTCCATGGCAAGAAGTCTTTGGACCACATGAGAAAGTAAGTGGTAAGGATGGCTTGTGAAAAAGGGCATCTGTGTGTGTCTGTAAGGGTGGTGGGGAGAAGAAGTGGTGTTACAGGTAAAATGGCATATACCAGGGCCCTTGCAGCTTGTCTTACCAGAAATCGGTCCTGCAGTAGATAACACAACTCAAAGTAGAGTTTTCCTCAAGCTCAGCTTGCTTAGATCTTTGAAAGAATGAAAAACATAAAAATTGGTGAAGATGAAATTAAGCACCATAATAATATTTCACAGCAGGTGGGGAAAGATCCCTAATTAAATGAAAATGAGGTCTTTTCTAATGTGACTTTGAAAAAATGACAGAACTCTCAATTTCCTTTGGTGAATTCAGTCAATGTGGTTCTTCTGCCTAAGGGAATGTTCCCACCAGGAACTCACAATTTATCTGAAATTACTATCTGAGAGGCTGTGTTCATCAGAGGACGTGGTTCGTCAGAGTGAAGGCAGGAAAGAAGATTGTAAACTGGAAAGATAAAGAAGCTGGAGGAAGCCTCTCCATTCCATTCTGCACACAGCATTCAGGGAGTCTGGATTGCATGAATGAATGTCTGCCAACATACCATGTACGATCCTGCAATGTCAAACCTTATTTGATACAGCAAAGAGTCAGGAATCTTTGAACCATAAGCTTCTGTTATGGGATTTGGGCAGCTTGTGCTGAAATCAGGAAAATCTGATTAGAAGCAGCCACAGGCTCCCCAGAGTGTCCTGGTGTGTACAGCAGCAGGTGTGAACCTGGGAGAGGCCAAGGACTCTGGCCTTCCACAAATGTGGGCGTTAAGACCGCTTGAGCCTCTTAATCTGCATTCTCCAGAGACAAGATCAGATGAAAAGGAAAGAATGACTTGGGCCTCTGCTGTTATCTAATGATAACAGCACTCACAAGAGGGAGAGGAGATCCAGATCCCATTTGTTCTCTGGCATGTGCTTTGCTCTTGCTTTTGAAATTGGAGCAGGGCTAAGAGAACCCAGGCAAGGGGTGCAATGGTGTTGGTCAGTAGAGAAGCTTTTTCTCTGGGCCAACAAAAGCTTCATTTCTCTTTCTGAAGCAGAAGCACTTCAACATTTTGGCTGAAAGCATCTTCCTGCAGAACATCTTATGCCTGGCAGTGAGAGTTGTTATGAGGAAGACAGGATACAGGTTTTGTCTCTGTGACATAAAAGGGAATTGTATGTAACTCTCCCACTCCTTAACTAAGTGTTCTTGCATAAAGATGCAGGTTTCCATGGACTGAGTACAAGGTGTCCCAGAGCTTCCAATGGGAGGCGCAGTCACATGGTGAGAGGCAATTCTGCAAGCAAGAGCTGCTGTGGCCTGGGGAAGAGAAGGAGCTAAAGTACCTGCCATCACAGCCCATGCTGAAGGGAAGCCTTGCTTCTAGGAAAGGGTCCAATCCCTCAGGTTCTGATGTATAAGGCCACAAGGTACCAGCAGCCCAAGCCAGCTCTGAGCACAGCTGGTGCTGGGCTGGCAACATGGGATCAGGCTAAAGGGAAACCCAAAACAAGGTTAACAGTTTTGGCCGTGTGGTTCAGCTCTAAGCCAAGCGTCTGACAGGGCTGTGACTTCGGTCCAGCTCCCCCAAGAACCTCAGGGAGAGGCAGGCTGTGAGCCCAGCCCTCCTGACTCATGATCCTGCTCCACAGCGCCTGCCTTGAGCTGGCCTCTCTTTCCAGGAATGGGAGAGGAGGAAAAACAATTAAACGACCCACCCCCTTCCTGTGGCATTGGTTGCGAGGGGCTTTCCAAAAAGGGTAAAAATAACCTTTCCCACCTCAGGCTGTGTCGCACTGAGTGGCAGCAGGGGACAGCCTGTGCCGGGGGGTGTCGCGCCAGCCACCTGGCACCCCCCACCTGGCAGCAATGACGGCGCATTGGGGACAGGGACGGGTGGGGTGCCAGCACATCCTGTGAGACAATGTCCCCGTCACTGCTACAAGAGCCCCGCGGCTGTTTCCATGGGCCTGCCGGCACTGGCAGCCGCTGGGAGGGCTTTGCTGCTGAGCAGTGGCCCAGGAAAGCCCCGCAGTGCCCTCGCTGTCTGTGAGGCTGCAGACCCTGCTGTGGCGTGGCACATCAGGCATGGCCAGGTGTCCCACACGGTCTCAACCTCCTCCCTCTCCCCGTGTAGCAGTTTCGCACGTTGGCAGTGATGCCCACAGGGCCATGGGATAGTGAATGCTTTTCTTCAGAACCTCCCCGCCTAAGCACAGATTTGGGAATGAAATTTCCAAATGTCAATGTCCCATGGCCAAAAATGTAGCCTGTGTGTTTCAACAACCACAGTGTGCCAGCAGACACCTCCAGCATGTTGAGCTTTGACAAGGAGTTGGAAACAACCAGGACCTGACTACCAAGGTGACAGGTAGGAACAGTTTTTTGGCTGCACGACAGACACCAGCCCAGTCATGGCATCATAGCCCAGCTCCTCACAGTTAAAGAAACAAAACCCACCCAAATCCCCAAAGCAGCTCTCCTGGGGAGACCTACCAGTCTGGCAGTGAATAATTTCTCCTGAGTGCACGGAGAAGACAGAACCTTGTCTTTGGGGCCATGAAGTGCCTTACTCAACTCTTAGGAACAGAGGCCCTTTATTTCCAAATTGCTGGGTACGTTGCCTCTACTGACGCTCAGCTTTGGCAATGCCCTTCAACTCCCTTGTAGAACAGCTGGCTTGACAAGCGTTCGGAGTGGATTTAAAAATACCGTAGTCAAAGCAGAGCCCGCTGCATCTGTTTGTGCAAACATGCAGCCGGGGTTGGCTTTTGGGCACACCCCGGCACAGCCCTGCCCTGGCAGCCAGCAGGGAGCAAACAAACCCTGTCTTTGCTCAGGCAGATGGTCAGATGCCCAACAGATTCTGTGTGCCTGGGACAAGTGGGAGCCTGCAAGGAGCAGGGCTCTTGAAACCCCATGGGGGAAGTGGAGAAAGGCATCTCCTCCCCATTTTAAAGCTGGGTGTGGGGGAAAATTTATATTCACAGATGAACTCGCCTTGTGGCCCAAGGAATGTCAAGGGCAGAGCCACAATTAGCTCATAGCACAGAGCAGGTTCTTGCTGTGGGCTGACAGGCTTCCTGTCAAAGGCTCAAAGGAAAGTGACACTGGGGACTAGCAGGCAAGAAAGCAGGATGTCCCAGGGGACAGCAGGCATTGCAGAGGGAGGAGAGACATATGTTCCTTCCAACAAAAGACCCAGCTCTCCTGCTAATACATACCATTCTAGCCATGCAGTTAAGCTCCTCTGCTTCCTGCTGGCTTTTGTTCTCTCTAGCTAAATCTGTCTTGCCCCACAATAGGAATGAAAGACCAAATAAAGATGAATGCACTGGAATTCACACAATCTTACATACTTCTTTCAGGTAGTTCTGAAATAACATTGATGAAGAGGAAATGTGTCTGTGCTGGCATTTGTGTGACAGGTACCTAAGGCCTGGCTCTTGCTGAAGTTATTGTTCAAGTGCTTCATGGTTTCTCCACATTTCTTCAACCCCTTGTTTTTCCTCCAAGTTAGAAATTTAGCTGCCCTGGAGGAAAATTTACTGGCAAAGCAGTGAGGTGACCTCACTGGAGCCAAAGTGCAGATAGTTGAGCAATGAAGGCAAAGAAGGAGGAAAAAGTCTGGCTTAGTTGTTAGTATACCTGTCTTGTGCCACTGAGGAACACGTTGAAGCTGGAACAGACCCCATCCCTCCAACAATGGTTCTGTAGCTACAGGAAGCCACCTAGTCCTGAGACAGAGCCTGGCTCCCCAGGAAATCCAAGCGGAAAATTTCCTATACACACAGCTGATACTTGGGGTGCAGAAGGTAAATGTCACACTGCAAAATACCCCAGGGAAAAAGCCATACTCAGCATTTTCTTCTGCATGTCTGTTCCCAGCCCAAGCATGGTGAGGCCTGTGCTGCTGCATGCCAAGTGAGAAGGCCTTTTACCTACACAGCATAAGTGCCAGCCAAGATTTTTCTTCCCATTTGAGCTTTGAGCTGCCTTGAGTGTTCTGACATTTACAATGAGCATCAGCACACCATTGTCTTGTTCTATCTGCAGCAGCAGGACTCTCTGGGTACTGGTCACAACCACAGAATCATGGAGTAGTTGGGGCTGGAAGGGACCTCTGGGGACCACCCTGTCCAACCCATCTGCTAGAGCAGAAACAGGTTGCAGAGGACTGCACCAAGTGCAGTATTTTGGGTTTTGAGTGTCTCCAGGGAAGCAGACTCCACAGCCTATCTGGACTATCTATTCCAGTGCTCTGTCACCCTCACAACACAGAATTTTCCCCTCATATTCAGATGGAAATCCCTGTGTTACATGTGTACGTGTTGCTCCGTGCTCCTGTCACTGGGATCCACTGGAAAGAGTGTGGCCTCACTATATTTACACACCCAACCCTAGGACATTTGTTGCACTAGTATAAGACATGCAGATAATACAACATAAATTTTATGTGGCACACGAGTGCTGGAGCGGCTCCCGGTGGAGCCCGGCAGCCCGCGGATCCCGCGTCCCGGCTGGCATTTCCCTGCCAACAGCGCCCTCTCCCGGCCCTTCTGTGCGGCGGGGGCAGCCGCGCTGGGGAAATTAATTTAATTTACTGCCAATCAAATCTGAGCAGGGTAATGAGAAATTGGCACACCTTAGAACAACTTCCCCTTTCTCCTCTCTTCTTCTTGGGCTCAACTTCACTCCCGAGTCGTCTGCCTTCTCCCCTCCAGCAGCACAGGGGGAAGAGGAATGGGAACTGTGGTCAGTCACCACACTTCGGTCTCTGCCGCTCCTTCCTCCTCAGGGAGGGGACTCCTCACACTCTTCCCCTGTTCCACCGTGGGGAGGAGGTGTGGAGGACCGTCCTCCATGAACTTGTCCAACACGCATCCTTCCCCCGGGCTGCAGTTCTTCATGAACTGCTCCACTGTGGGTCCCGAGTCCTGCCAGCAAACCTGCTCCGGAGGGGCTCCTCTCCCCACTGCCTCCCCACAGACGCTGCCAGGAGCCTGCTCCAGCACGGGCTCCCCACGGGCTCACCGCCTCCTCCGGCATCCACCCGCTCCAGCGTGGAGTTCTCCGCGGGTTGCAGGGGGGTACCCGCTCCCTATGGCCCTCCCGGGCTGGGGGCACAGCTGCCTCCCCACGGTCTGCACCACAGACTGCCGGGGAACCTCGGCTCCAGCCGAGAGCTCCTCCTGCCCCTCCTTCTCCCCTGACCCTGGCGTCTGCAGAGCCGCTCCTCTCACATATTCCCACTCCTCTCTCTGGCTGCAACTGTGCAGCTTTTCCACACTTCCTCAATCTACTGTCCCAATGAGCTTGGCTTTGGTCAGAGGTTCATCCATCCTGGAGCTGGCTGGCATTGGATCTGTCAGATATGGGCAAAACTTCTGGAAGCATCTCACAGGACCAACCCCAGAAGCCACCCACTACCAAAACCTTGCCACACAAACCAAATATAACAGTGACCCAGATCTATTTGAAAATAGCACGTACCATCAGCCTTCTTTGCTTTCCTATTCTCCAACCAATGTCACTTATTGGATCCAGAAAATTAAAGCCAGATATTTGGGGTCTGGTTTGCAGGCGCAATGGCTGAAACAAAGAAAACCTATTTAGAGGACTACAAAGCTCTTCAGAGCAGTCCCCACATTAAACATGG